ATAGAAGAAATATTTATTACCCCTTGAAATGATTTAAAAAATCACACTTATTCATTCATCCAACCAGTCATCCATTCTTTCAAATACCATAACCCCTGAGTTTTACTATGTTTTAATTATCATATTTTGTCCTTAGAATTCAATAATGAATATTTTTCAAAAAACAAGCAGTTATATTTCAAGCAAGACAAATAAATTTGAAGTTAAATGTAAGTATTGTTTTCAACTTTGAGTTTTAATCTCTATCCAGAGGAGAAAAATGTATATATTAATCACATTTATTACTACCTAAAGAATCTTATGCAAAGTTCCTATAGAGGGCAAACTGCATGAGGACAGGAACTTTACTTTTCTCTCTTCATACAATCTGGAACAACAGCAGGTAGAAAATAAGAACTTAGCAAGCAGCGCAAATATATGTTGGTCTTAATATTTTTACTGAAAGGAAATAAAAGCACCATTCAGAAGAGACATATGCACTCTCATGTCTATTATAACATTATTCATAATTGCCAAGATATGAAAACAACCTAAATGCCCATTAGCAGGTGAATGGATAAAAAAAGACTTGGTACATATACACAATAGAATATTATTCAGCCACGAGAAAGGAGGTTATCCTGTCATTGGAGACAACTTGGATGGACCTTAAATATATTATACTAAGTGAGATAAGTCAGGTAAAGACAAGTACTGAATAATACACTTATATGTCAAATCTGAAGAAGTCAAGCTGCCTGCCTTTTGTTCTTCAATTTAGGGTGTTTCTACTTTAAGGGATGGACACATATGTTTGATTTGAGCTCTCAGTGGGAACAGATTTGTATAAGATAGTTTGCTTTTACACTTAACTCTTCAATTTATTAGTCTAATATTCGTAAGATTTCTTCCTTCAAGAAGGCAAGGCGATTCTTCCTTCTGAACACTTCAAGCCACAGCAGGATAGAGTCATTTAAAATTTTTTAGTGGAGATATGTTAGCATCCTTGCAGAAGCAGTGACTGTGGTACATGAAGTCGCGGAGGATGAAACAATACTAGGAAAGTTTTGTTCTGCTAGCCCTTAAATCACTTTAGAGACCTTAATCTAATGTTTAAAATTCAAACTATTACCTCATGGAGTGTTCATGGAATTCTGGCAGTTGATAAGAGTTACTCATGTGTGAGCCTTTTGTTTTTCCAGCAAATGCTTATTCAGTACATTTCCTGCCTATATACACTCCATGGAGATGTACAGAAAAATATCTAATGGTTCCTCAGATGAACTTTACTTTTATTTGAAAGCAGCAGACCACAATTAATTGTCTCTGGGCCAGGACCACATTTATTACCAAGATCCCATGTGCCTCTGCTTTAACAGGGAGACTGTGATATCTTTCCAGTATCTAGGTATCACTAACTTGGATCCTGATCCTGAGAATCCTTGTAATGTGACATTCCCACTGCCCCACTACACAGGTACCAAGTATATGTCCAGAGATCCCTTAGGAGGTGAACTGGGAAAATCATTATCATTGAACCTTGTTCCAGAGTATAGGGTACTTTCTCTTGGGATCCTGCACCCTCCCTCAAGGTGATAGGTTCTTGGTTTAAAATTGGCTCAGGTCAGGATAGGAAATTGACTTTTTATCAGGGCTGTGTCTCAGCCTCCTGATAAACTTATTTGATTCCATTTGGTTGTTTTCTCCTCATCCCTTTTGACTCTACAGTTGTCCTTTTTGATTCACCATCTTCATAATTTTCTCTAGTCAAGTCTAACTGGCTGTAACTACAATCATGTTACAGAATGAATGTGTGTACTTTCCAAAATTAATCAGATGAATCCCTAATTGACAATGTTTTCCCAATATGATGGTATTTGGAAGTGGGGCTTTTTGGAGGAAATTAGGGAATGAGGGTGAATCGCTCATGAATCTGGTGAGGACCCTCATAACAAAGAAATGTGAATTCTGTCTCTCTCCCCGTCTCCCTCTCTCCCTCCCTTCTCTCTTCCTACCATTTGAGGACAAATGTGACCATCTGTGGGCTTCCCTGGTGGCTCAGCGGTAAAGAATCTGCCTGCAATGCAGGAGTTACAGAAGACATAGTTTCGATCTCTGGATCAGGAAGATCCCCTGGAGGAGGGCATGGCAACCCACTCCATATTCTTGCCTGGAAAATCCTATGGACAGATGAGCCTGGTGGGCTACAGTCCACGGGGTCGCAAAGAGTCAGACACGACTGAAGTGACTTAGCATGACATGACACATGTCACCAACTATAAAGCTGGAAAAGGACCCTTACCAAGAACCCAACAATATGGACACATGCTTGTGGACTTGCAGCCTCCAGAACAGGGAGAAATAAACATTTGTAGTCTAAGCTGCCCAGTCTGTGGTAATTTGTAACAGCAGCCTGAGCTAAGACAAACTATGATTCTCATCACTATCATTGTATGTACTTGACTTCTGATGTTTAAATGCCAGCACCTGGCCTCCATGTGTTAGGGTATTATCCCCAGTGTTATCAGGGCATCTAGTTCTGAAATGGTGTATCATTCCTGCTCTTGCCTGCAGCAGAGAGGCCACCACTGAACATTCAAGAATGATGGGATTCCTTTCACCAGGGCATATGCCTAAGGTTTAGTAATTTTCTTTCAATATCTTACAAGTATAATTCAAAGATAGGAAGTAAAGACTAATCTAGCTGAGATATCAAAGGGTAAGAAGAATGTTTATACCTTATTTTTGAAATAAATATAAGGGATTAAAAACTAAAGCCAAAATGAAAATAAGATTAGGATGCAAATTTAATGCTTTCTAGTGTTCTGATCCAACCTGTTGAGAAGGCTGATATCATTTCTAGAAATAATAAGCAAATTCATTATCTAATAGTCAACTTTACATTCTGTTTATTTGTATCATTATTAGTTTTATACTTTATGTTTTCTCTGTAATTTATTAATGAAATTATAATACCATCTTTTTAAAATTCAAAAGACAGACTATATAATGAAAAACATGGGTCCCTTTCACTTGTCATGCTAAGTAGTTCTCCCCAGAAGAAAACAATGACTCCAGTTTCTAATGAATCTTCCCAGAGATGTTGTATATCTACATATATATGAGTTCATATAATAATTATATTTTTTGCAGTGAACACATTATACAAAATTTTTCTCACTCTATGACATATCTTCAAGATTGCTCCATACTCATGCATACCTCTACTGTTAATTTGTTGACCAAATACATAATATTTCAGTATATGTACATGAAAAATGTATATTACCAATTTACATAGATGGACATTTACATATAATCAGGTCTTTTGCAATTGAAAGTGATGCCTTGGGACTTCCCTGATGGTCCAGTGGTTAAGAATCTGCCTTCTGATGCAGGAGATGCACATTTAGTCCCTGGTTGGGGAACTAAGATCCCATATGCCTTGAGTCAACTAAGCCCATGTGCCACAATTATGCAGAGCCTGTGTGTCCTGAGGCTGTGCCATAACTAGAGAAGCCTGTGCTTGGCAACAAAAATGCACCAATGAAGATCCCACATGTAGCAACTAAGACCCAACACAGCCAGATGATTTTTTTAAAGTAATGCTTCAGTGAACCTCTTGTATGTATGTATGTATACACATATATGTATGTATGTACAGCTGTATGATTTGCACACATGTATTTCCTAAAGTGAACAAGGTGTCCATTCATTTATTTTATCCAACATGGGCCAGGCATTGAGACTTTCTAGCAGACACTTTTCATATTTAAAGCTTTGCTGATTGAAATGAAAAGCAATACACACCAAAAATAAGCCAGAGAATATGTCCACATTCTATAATTTCTTTCAAAGGAGAGCTACTTTTTAAATACTAAACCTTGATGTCCCACAAAATTCCAAAGAAATTTAGCTGGAGAACTCAATATTGAAGTGATGTCATCACCAACTTTGTTCAAGGCATGTGTAATCCATGGAATATTCTCATTTTTATCACTTTCAATCATTTCTTTCAAGTGATATATCTCTGCATTTATCACCTCGGACTTCATTCTAAATCTTTCATTAAGCAGAGCATCTTAGATCTAAAAATAAACTGAGGAAGGAAGTAACATTTTTAAAATCCCTATTTTTTCAAGGATGACAGTTTGTATTAAGAAATTTGTTAAACTCTCATGTTTTACCCCTAAATTTGTTCTCTTTTACTCAATCATAAAAGGAAAGCTTTGCAACAAACAATATCTCCTGGACTTGAACTTTGAGAGAAAGCATAATTTACTGCCTTACTAATATTCACACACCATTAAAATTTTACCAGGAGGCTAAACCTGACATGAGTACATATAACATGCTCCAGTCAAATAATGCCAGTTGAGAGGTAGCCTTTATCTGATTGCACTAAAGATGGTACATTTACTCAAATTATAGAAATATGTTATAACAAGTCCAAATGGACAGTGAGAGAATTCCCTCTATGCCATAAGATAACGTATATTTATCCACACCTGGAGATAATGCAGCAAGTTTAGAAGCTGTCACTTGCCTATGTTTTGCTGTCTGGACATTTCTAATAGTTTCATGTCAGCATAGATCTACCTCAGGATCTTTGGGTAATAGCAGGATTCCTTATAATTGACAACGATCTTGGTAAAGAAAACCAGTTTCTGCTAATATTAAATACATATGGCTAGCATATCTTTTAAGTCAAGCTTTGTGGGACCATTTAAAACTCTCCTGAACTGCTAACTGAGAGATGTCCATCTCTCAAACCCTTCTTATTCAGTGTATTCTCCAAGGGTGCACAGGGACCATACTCACCTTGAGCTCTCCAGAGTCTACTTATAGAGTAAAATTCAAAGATTTTGGAAGGATTCAAAGAGTTCAGGGTTTTAATGAGTCACAAGCAGTAAATGGCAATGGTTCTTCCCTCCATGGTCTTGCTGAAAACTTCACCCATGCCTTCCTGAGGACCCAGGATAATGACCATCAAGCACCACTAAGGCCACAGCCTGACTTACCTTCAGCTTATGCTCTAGCATCATATTCTGCTCTTTTCCGAGGTTTTCTCTTTCCCTCTTCAGCTTCTTGTCAGCTGGGCTATATTTTCCTGGAGACTCCTCTCTTTTGCCACCATGTGCTGATGTTGCTCCTGCAGTTTCTGTACTAGCAGCTCCTGTTCCTTCTCAATTATCTCATTTCTAGCCTGGTCCACTACCCTAGGAAGGTTTTAGAGAGGAAGGAAAATAAGGTAAGGACTGATCTCTACCCTCATTACCTCAGAGACAAACAGAGTTGGAAAGGGAGGTGAGAACTCTCTGAATTCTGCCACACACTTCCCCACCCCCCTACCCTCGCCCCACCGTGTCAACACCACCAAGAGCACACTTCAGAATGTGATGGGAAAAGCTAGTCTGGTAGATGTCTAAACTCATCCAGCCACCACTCCCCTTGCTGTTTTAAGAGAGGAAGCTCCTTGTATCAGGATTGTACTCTCATACCTGCCAGAGGGCACTGCAAGAATCTAACCATTCCCCTTTGAGTGAAACCCTATCCTGTACCTGCCACAGCCTTCTCCCCATCACTGAGTGCTTCATCTTCAAACAGGATGATTCTCTCTATTGCAAACTGTGACTCCAGAAAGTTCTGGAGGGCCTCATTTTCCTGAGGAACCAAGAAGGAGCACAGAACTTAGATTTCCATTGGAGACATTAGTGCTGGGAAAACAAGCATTCCATATAATTTTTCTTCAAGTTTAAAATTCTGCAATGGTTCTTTACAAGTCTAAGATTCTTAGAGTGATTTGCCTTTCTCTGGTCTCTCTCCCAGTGCTACTTACTTCCACTCACTCTTGGTTCCAACCACTCAGAATATATTCAGTTCTACAAACCCAAGATCTCTGGTTTGTTGCTCAGTCGCTCAGTCATGTCCGACTCTGTGACCCCATGGACTGCGGCACACCAGGCTTCCCTGTCCTTCACCATATCCTAGAGTTTGCTCAAACTCATGTCCATTGAGTAGATGTTACCATCCAACCATTTCGTCCTCTTTCTTCTCCTTCTTCTCCTGCCCTCAATCTTTCCTAGCATCAGCATCTTTTCTAATGAATCAGTTCTTTGCACCAGGAGGCCAAAGTATTGGAGCTTCAGCTTCAGCATCAGTCCTTCCAATGAATATTCGGGACTGATTTCCTTTACAATTGACTCCTTTGATCTCCTTGCAGTGCAAGGGACTCTCAAGAGTCTTCTCCAACACCACAGTTCAAAAGCATCAATTCTTCAGTGCTCAGCTTTCTTTATGGTCCAACTCTCACATCCATACATAACTACTGGAAAAAACATAGCTTTGACTATATAGACTTTTGTTGGCAAAGCAATATCTCTATGTTTTTCATAGCTTTTCTTCAAAGGAGCAAGTGTCTTTTAATTTCATGGCTGCAATCACCATCTGCAGTGATTTTGGAGCCCAAGAAAATAAGTCTGCCACTGTTTTCATTGTTTCCCCATCTATTTGCCATGGAGAGATGGGACAAGATGCCATGATCTTAGTTTTTTGAAAGTTTAATTTTAAGCCAACTTTTTCACTCTCTTCTTTCACTTTCATCAAGAGGCTCTTTAGTTCCTCTTCACTTTCTGCCATAAGGGTGGTGTCGTCTGCATATCTGAGGTTATTGATATTTCTCCCAGCAATCTTGATTCCAGCTTGTGCTTCATCCAGTCTAGCATTTCTCATGATGTATTCTGCATAGAAGTTAAATAAGCAGGGTGACAATATATCGCCTTGACGTACTCCTTTCCCAATTTAGAACCAGCCTGTTGTTCCATGTCCGGTTCAAGCTGTTGCTTCTTGACCTGCATACAGATTTTACAGGAGGCAAGTAAGGTGGTCTCATATTCTCATTTCTTGAAGAATTTTCCAAAGTTTGTTGTAATCCGTACAGTCAAGGGCTTTAGCATAGTCAGTGAAGCCAAACTACATGTTTTTCTTTCTGGAATTCTCTTCCTTTTTCTATGATCCAGCAGATGTTGGCAGTTTGAACTCTGGTTCCTTGGTCTTTTCTAAATCCAGCTTGAACATCTGGAAGTTCTTGGTACACGTATTGCTGAAGCCTAGCTTGGAGAATTTTGAGTGTTACTTTGCTAGCATGTGAGATGAGTGCAACTGTGCTGAAGTTGAACATCTTTTGGCATTGCCTTGTTTTGGGATTGGAATGAAAACTGACCTTTTCTAGTCTTGTGGACACTGCTGAGTTTTCCAAATTTGCTGGCATATTGAGTACAGCACTTTCACAGCATCATCTTTTAGGACTTGAAATAGCTCAACTGGAATTCCATCACCTCCACTAGCTTTGTTCATAATGATGCCCACTTGACTTCACATTCCAGGATGTCTGGCTCTAGGTGAGTGATCACACCATGTGGTTATCTGGGTCATGAAGATCTTTTTTGTACAGTTCTTCTGTATATTCTTGCCACCTCTTCTTAGTATCTTCTGCTTCTGTTAGGTCCATACCATTTCTGTCCTGTATTCTGCCCATCTTTGCATGAAATATTCCTTTGTTGTCTCTAATTTTCTTGGTGAAATCTGTAGTCTTTCCCATTGTATTGTTTTCCTCTATTTCTTTGCATTGATTGCTGAGGAAGGCTGTCTTGTCTCTCCTTGCTATTCTTTGGAACTCTGCATTCAAATGGGTATATCTTTCCTCTTCTCCTTTGCCTTTCACTTCTCTTATTTGCTCAGGTATTTGTAAGGCCTCCTCAGAAAACCATTTTGCCCTTTTGCATATTTACCTTCCCAATGTGAAATACTGCCTCTAACTTGCTCTGCTACTTGCTTCCTATAACTTTAGACAAGGTAGTTTAATATGCTAAGCCTCTCAGGTTAGACCTTTAAAATATTGACAATAAGTATAAATGCTGCTTAATGCTATTAAAAGGATTAAATTAAAGAGTATAAAGGAAAAACTTAACATTATGGCTACAGGCAATAACAGCTCAATATTCATTACTTGGATTATTATGATCACTCTTACTTTTAAAAATTATTTATTTATTTATGGCTGTGCTGGGTTTTCATTGCTGCCTAGGCTTTTCTCTAGTTGTGGTGAGTGGTGGCCATTCTCTAATTATGGTGCACAGGCTTCTCAGTGCAGTTTCTTCTCTTGTTGTATAGCACAGGCTCTAAGGTGCATGGGCTTCAGTAATTATGACTCCCGTACTCTAGGGCACAGGCTCAGTAACTGGCACACAGGCTCAGTTGCTCCACAGCATGTGAGATCTTCCCAGATCGAGGATAAAACCTGTGTCTCCTGCATTGGCAGGTGGACCTTTTACCACTGAGCCATGAGGGAAGCCCTATCATTATTGCTCATTATTGTGTCTATTCCTTCCACTTATGTAGTGCATTTTCAAAGGTTCATGAGTATTATAACTTTATATTCAACTGTCTATATATTTCACTTCCTCTCTCATTGTTGTTCAGTGTTAAGTACATAGACTCTGACTTGTAAATTTAGGCAATTAGTACATTAGATGTCACATTGTTGGATGAAGAAATAAATAATGTATGTTCTGTCTCTCAGGATTTCAGAAATATGCTCTCATGTTTTGGGAAGGAACTTTTCTACTCTCCTCAGGAATAAAGGGCATGTATGGAAACTAAAGCTGTCATGATATCCCTATGCTCTCTCATTATCCACACCTGATGCTATGCTCTCAAATTTTCAGGAAATCACCCTGGATTCTATTCTGTAGGCTCCCAATGCTTCCCTTATTGCTCAACTTCACTCCTTTCCTGGGCACTTGGCAATAGCCCTTTTCAAGCATTTCCTTTGCTTTCCTATAGAGTTCATGACCTCCAGGAACAAAGAAAGTTCCTGATGAAAGGTTTTCCATTAGGTCCTTGGAAAGCTCATCAAGTTTACCTGGGCAGTATATAGCAGATGTCTTTTAATTCTGTAGCAGGAAATTCTCCTTATAATTCTTTATGATTCTCTGCAAGAGAAAGGTACAGAGATGTCACCAGAAGCAAAGAACAGAAGTGATAAATTTCCAAGGAATCTGGTAGAAGGATTGGTTCTCATGAGAAAAGCATTCTGTTGGTAGGTGTGGAATAAAATAACATTCACAAGAATTGATCTGCTTCCAACCCTGAAAACTCTATGTAAGACCATGGGAAAGTTTCTTAGTGTCCCTTCAGGTTCTTCATCTGAAGGCTGCTAAGTTCTCTAGCTGGGCCAGAGTTGTCACTGCATTCTCCAAACAAGGTACAGCTCCACTATTGATTGTATCCACATACATCGCAACCAGAGTCCTCAGTCCTGAATAAGCCAGAATAAACATCAAGTTATTAGTCAATAGGCTCCAAGATTCTAAGACTACATTTCTTAAGTCACACACACATGCATGGACACATGCACACACACCTACCTCCTTTTACTGTCATCACCTTCATTTTCCTACTAACTCATTGTTATGGTTTTCCAGACAACATGTCTAAAAAATAGTCTGCTTTCACTTAACATGCTAGGGAATACTGGGAAAATATAGTTTCTCCTTGAAAATTTAAAAGAAAAATATATTTCAGAGGTATTCAGATGTGGCAGTATATATCAGATTATATTTATGTCTAATTTTGAGGCTTTGAGTGGACTTTGAGGGATTTGCAGGCTAAATTTTTTGGACCACTCTAAACTCTCCAAATATTTTTTGAATTCCCCTTGCAAAAAACATTTATTTTAAGGACTTCTCTTGAGAAAATAGTATATTCTGTTTTTATACCCAGATGGTGATTTTATTCTCAGTGGAGGAATTTTTAAGATAAATGGAAGCCACAGATAATAGTGAGAAAGTTTTCAGTTTTGGAGAGAAAATTGTAAACCCCTGAAAGTGGTTTATATATATTATTTATATATAATATATAATAATATGTAATATTATATATTAATATATAATATATTATATATTTTATAATGTTATATAATATATAATGGAGTATGAATATCTATAAACCCAGAATTCCATATAGAATAAAAATACTGAAAAATTCATTATTTGAAATATTCAACATGTATTAGGCCCCACAGAAATGGAAAAAGGAGACTCAACAATTCCCAGTGACTGTGATTCCCTCTCTAAGTGCCTTGGTCTTTACACTGGTGAAGATATAAGAACAGAAATTGCTTGTTTATTCCAGGAATTTAGGATTCAGTTGGTCTTCAGACACAGTCTCAATATTGGATAAGAGTTCTTTGTCATTTGTAGGCTGGTCAAAAACAAAACACTGCCATGCTGGAAAAAAAAAACCCTTGATGCGCTCTCTGCATAGATTGGATATTTAGGCTTTAATATTCTTGCCTAAAGGACATAAACAGAGATTAGAGTGGGAATATTCTTGGGACAAGGGAGGTAACAGCATTTGTGATAGGGATTTATATGTTTTTGTTGTCTTCTCTATTTACAACTCCTATGTTTATAATTCAGGACTTCTTTGCACATCAAACTTACACCAAAGATAAAACTCTGGAAAGAAATTTGGGGAGACATGCGATACAGTAAAAGAAACTTATGACTGATATCCCCAGACCTGCACACAGTAGAGTAGTTGCCAATTAGATGTTTATTGCACTTATGGCTAGAAGAATGAAGGCCAAATGTAACTTTTTGCGCTACTCAATCTCATGTAGAAATTGAGCTGTGGGATCAAAAATAAGAGTCACAAACAAGCAATAATGGACAATATTAGGAATGACACCTGATCATTTAAGGAAAACTATTTTGATGCTTAAAACTAATTGTTACAGAGTTAGCTAACTTTTCACAAAAACCTCCGAGGGATATAAGCAGCTAAAATGTAATTTTAAGGTTCCACCATTAATCTCGAAACTCTGAGGTAAGGGATCATCTTTGACTTAACAGTGATCCTTTTCTGTCTTGTCAATTTCTCAATAAATGTTTTAAGAAAGCATAAATAGAAACATGGGAGCAAGAATGAATAAGTCAGAAAGTATGTCTCTACCTTGTTTCAACAGATATTCAGTCTTGTAAATATAACCTGTTAAAGTAATTTGCTATTTTGAAGTTATAGAATGAATATGTAGGAATTAAGAAAAAGCTATGATATTCAAAGTAAAATGACAGTTCTGATATTTATAAGCAATAGTGAAAAGGTATAGATTGAATGGGCTTCCCTGGTGACTCAGATGGTAAAGAATCCACCTGCAATGCAGGAGACCAGGGTTTGATCCCTGAGTCAGGAAGTTCCCATGGAGGAGGGCATGGCAACCCACTCAGTATTCTTGCCTAGAGAACTCCCATGGACAGAGGAGCTTTCCATGGGGTCACAAAGAGTCAGATATGACTGAGTGATGAAGCACAGCACATAGATTGAAAAGACACTTTTTCAGGTTTATTTAGACTATAAAGTCATTTCAGAGTAATATAATTATACAAATTTTTTTTTAAAAAAATATATTGTTATTTGAGAAGAATAATATCAGTGTGAATTTTTTTTACTAGATAGACTTTTGACTGTAATTTCATATCTAACAAGTCATAAAACAAGTTCCTTTGGTTTCCTCAATGGAGAAAAGCAGAAGCCAAAAAAGGGAAAACAAGGATCTGGTTTTCAAAAGATTTTATCACCCATTATAATCAGGGTGGTAAGTCACAGACTGAGTTGAAAACAAATTGGTTTTGTATAATTTCCCTTTACACTTTACTTTTCTTCGGAGAACTTCAACTCTAGTCCCTAGAGCTTTGCAACCCACTTTCCACCCATGGTTTCTACAGACTTTGATCTAGTCTCAAATACAAATGCAACCTCAGAGATGATGGACAGTAATTTAGTAGATCCCACCCTGTATTCAACCATCCACTACCCGAGTCATGCTCTGATACCTGGAATCAGCTTCAAGGCATTCTCCAGATACTGGTCTTCTGTGATAAGGCGACCCTTTAACTTTAGCTCCAGGGCAAAATCCTCTACAGTCCAGATAAAGTCTGGAAAGAAACTCACAAACTCTGTGGAATCTTCTACTCCATCAGGTCTTGGAGAAGACTTGGCCCTGAGGAGTTCTGTGAGCTCTGTCACAGAGCTAGGACTTAGTTAAGGAAAAGCAACCCCTTACCCACAATTCCTACATTTCTCTAATTAAAAAGTATAATCACTCTCTTTGACCCTGGGTCCCTTTTGCTCCACCAAAGACAGCCAAAGGACAGGAAAGGAGAAAATGACACTATCTCCATTCCCGTAATTCATGAAACATGTTGGTTCAGTTCCTGGATGGATACTGCAGGTGTTCCAGGGGTACTATAGCTGCTCCAGGATACTGCAGCTGCTCCAAGTTGATGGCGCTCATGCTGTTATAGACAAAGATGCTGCTCAGAAGAACTGCGAGGACAAAGATCCATGAATCATTCTTGGAGTCACCCTTAAGGCATATAGAACAAGAGATTTAGGAGTCTACTCCTAAATTAGAAAGTCATTCTTACACTTATCCTGTAACATTTTCATTTATTACTTCAGTTAACATACCATGCAAAGAAATTGTTTGAAGACAGATATATGTTAGCTTTGACAATTACAAAGACATTTCTTGTGATTGCAATTCTTTTCATACATAAAAAGGATTCTTAATCTTCACTTAATCTTCACTTACTTTTTCCTCATTTAGAGAAAATAAAATAACATGTATATAAAAAACAGAGTACTGGTGTGCAATTTTGTATTCATTGATGTGTTAGCGCTTATTCCTTCTATATATGTTTATTAATCATAGGCCATATAAAATAGCTATAGTTGGCATAACTGGGGATTTAAATTATATCCTATCAATAAATACTTATAGGAAGCTAATCTATGTTTCCCACTATTCATAGATGTAAAAAAGCAAAATTAAAAATGTAATTGTTCCTTTCAAGATTACTATTTCTAAACAGTATCAAGCATCCATAACAATAAATGCAACAATGATGACATGATAGTGTCTACAAACAACTAACATCTTAGTAAAGGATATAGACAGTGGAGCCTATATATCTATAACATTAAATTAAAAATTAGAAGTCTACCAAAGAATAACAAAGCTACAAATGTTGGAGAACGATTGTTTGATTTGAAAGCTTCCTCAAAGTCTTGAGCTAAATACTAAGGAATTGGTAGAATGTGGATTTGAAGGAATGAAGATGATCCCATAAAGAGAAAGATCCAAAGAAGCAAAATTGGAGATGGGAGAATATAGGGTCTTTTAATGAAAATAGAGCTATTTCATTTGACTGAAGCAGAGGGTGAGTGGAGAAGTGAAGCTTAGCTCCAGTACAGCCTGAAAGGATCTTAAATATCAGGCTAATTTGTATAAATTATAACATTATCTAAATAATAGCATAATCCAGAAAAAATTGTACTATAAAGAGTATAAAGCTGTTCCCTAGTGCAAATGTGAAAACTATGACTTCTGTTTAGAAAAATCTATATTGATTTTTGAGGGGAAAAAATGTATTCATTAGTTTATTTCCCTAAACCTCAATTTTTAAAAATAATCAATTGCAGTAAGAAGAAATGGCATTTACACATAAATTATTTCAATAAGACTATATCACTGTTTGATATATGTCTTCAAAAAATAAATACAGACCTAGGGATAAACCTACCTAAAGAAGCAAAAGACCTATGTACAGAAGTGTAAGTTACTGCTGAAAGAAATCAAAGATGACACAAAGAGATGGAGAGATATACCATGTTTTTGGATTCAAAGAATCAATATTGTGAAAGTGACTGTATTACCCCAAGTAAACTATCAGTTCAATGCAATCCCTATCATACTAACAATGGCTTTTTAAAGAACAGAACTAGAACAAAAAATTAATCGTTTTTGTATGGAAACACAAAAGACCCTGAATAGCCAAAGCAATCTTGAGAAAGAAAAACAGACCTGGAGGAAACAACTTTCCTGACTTCAGACTATACTACAAAGCTACAGTCATCAAGACAGTAT